TCCTCCCACCACGCTAAGAAAACGTGTATAGGGAGTCCCCTGGCGTGCGGCAAATGCTGACAGCATGACTTTGGAGGGTTTACAAGTTTTTAAGGGGTTATACATGAGCGAATGAGGCAACGACGACGATGGCTTATGAATTAATTAGATTAGCATGATAAACAAGTTAGTGAAAGAAAAGTTGAATGTCACAAAATGAGAATTATTGATGTATGATAAAAATAGGAAGAATTCAATGAGAAATTATTATCTTAGAAAATCATTTGGAGTAGCACATATTGAAGATTAGATTGCCAAATTTAGACTTGCTGGTTTGGGAATTACAATAAATGGCAAGAGATGCACCAATAAAGCAATTAAATATATTTAGTGTGGAAGGATAATGATGGAAAGGGGTGAAGTTTAACGTTGTTAGAAGTTCTGCAAAAATATTTTTCTCCATGGAGTTGACATCTCGTGTAGTAATTAATATGAAGTCAAATAGGATTCATAAAGATGACTCCAAATTATTGGTGTGAGGCTAATGATGGTGATGATGATACTTTTGAAAGGATGATTAACAAAGAGATTTAATATTTTGTGTGAGGCTAACGGTGGTTGTGATGATGATGTTAATAAGAAATTACTTGATCATAAGTAGCTGATTATTAAGGTAATTTATTTAACTTTTAGTGATTCTTTTTTAGATATCTATCATGGCTAGTGTAGTTAGTAAACACCAATGTTAATTAGTATTTAAGTAATGGCTTTATCTATTGAATAATCATTAATGAACTAATTCAAAACCTAAGCAGCCTCGATTGATCAAATTATATATTAATTAATAATTAGTAGTTATTGGTGGTATCAGGTCCTAATTATTAAACACAGGCTATATTAATGGTTTAATTGGTTATCATTTGATTAATTTATCAGTTAATTAATTGATGACCTAATTATCACACATTTTGCACCATATAAGCTTTTCCATTATTATGATAATCTCTTAATCACCTCACCCATTGGCAATTAATTAATTAATTAGTTCATAGTATTTACTCTAATAACTAAACTTCTATTAGTGATCGGATTGCTAACAAAACAAGCGTAACCAGTTGTTTAATTAATGCCTAATTTTTGTCTTCTTGTTTAATCAATAGTCTATTTATTTAGTTAAACAATGACCATAATGCTAATTACTTTCTAGTTAATCACTGACCATAATTTAAGCTTTCTTTAATTCAGGTCAGTTTTGTAGTAACATTTTTTAGTTGATAAACTTACTGTGGAATGGCCAATTCATGCTTCAATGTCTGTTTGGATTTAGTTGATTAATGACTGAATTAATTTTGCTCGTGTTCTATATTTTTTAAAGCATTAATCTGGATGACGAGGTTTGTTTGACCAATCCTTATGCTGCACCTTCAACTACAGGTTTTTCACTCTCATCTTTCATCTGAGTCTTTAGACTTTGTTATTTGCTTTAGTTTTTAGTTATAAACTTTCTCTCGGCCCTTCTTAGGCTCGTTTGGGACGGATTTCTTACTGCTTTAACGTCTCAAACGAAGGTTTTTTTGGGATGACTTTTTAACTGCTTCTTAAAGCAATTTTTTAGTTAAAAAAAATTAATTTTTATATTAAAAAGTTGCTTTAAAAAGCCGTAAAAAGGCCATTCCAAACGAAACAGAAACCTTAAATGGAGAAGCAAAACTTTTGTTTTGGGGCACTCTAGCTGTGGTGTTGGTGCTGATTGCGGAAAAAATAGGTATGACAGGTTTTCTCCAAATGGAACTTTTATTACATCCTCTGACCGGACGTAGCTCTACGTTCGGTCAGAGGATTGTTACTCGATTTTTGCTCGGTATTTTATCGGTATTGCTAGGTATTGTTTGGTAATAACGAGGAATATTGCCTGTGAAGATCAATACCGAGTAATACCGAGCAATACCGAACAATACCGAGTAATCCCAAAAAATACCGAGTTTTTTCTAGAAAAAATTCGGTATTTATTGGGATTACTCGGCATTGCTCGGTATCGCTTGGTATTACTCGGTATTTTGTCTTCACATAATAGTATTTCTCGTTCTTATTGGTATTGATCGGTATTTGCTCAGTATTTCTCGTTTTGTGCCTGCGATCTTAGTGCCGGCCGAACGTAGCTCTACGTACATTCATCGGACGTAATAAAAGTTCCTCCAAATGGGTCTTTGGACAGCAATATTCTGTAATATGATTGTTCTTTTTTCTTTTATATTATCTCACGCTGTTATCAGGATCAAGGTGAATATTTATTGTCTATTTTTTTGCCTTTACATTTTTGTGTCTGGTAGATTAATTCTGAGTATACCCTTTCTTCTAATGATATCGAAGTTCCATTATTTGATAAACTTGTACTAGATGTCTTCGCCTCTTATGCACAAAATGAGCAGCTAAGCCATCGAATTATCAAGCATTTCAATTTTGTATTTTTTGTATTGTATTGATACTTTCTTTTACATTTCTCGTCTTGTAACATACTTAACCTTGGCGTTTGTCATTAGTAATTGATGCAAATAATTCTTTTTTGTAAAGAATGAAACTTGGTAGGCAAGCAAAAGATCCTCTTGGTTATGTTTGAGTGTTCCTAAGATTTGCTGAAGAGTTTGTAAACCTGTAATTGAATTTAGGCTTTTATACTGTTTTTTGAAGCAGCTTTTTAGTAAAAAATTTCTAGTTCAAAAAAAAAAAATTGTTTTAGAAAATAATAAAAAAGTTGTCTCAAACGAAGCTTTAGGTTTTGTTTGGGACGTCTTTCTTGTTGCTTTTTAAAGCAGCTTTCTAGTACGAAAATTTTAATTATTGAATTTGAAAACTGCTTTAAGAAGTAGCAAGAAAGTCATCTCAAACGAAGCCTTAGTTATCTTCGTTATCGTAATTCTTGTCTCAACTCACCGGGTTTTGGCTTTATGAATCTCATTTTTTGTACATTCACAATAGTGACCAAAATTTTTTATAAATTTCTAGCCATATAATTTAGGTATACTTTATTAATATAACATATCAATATCAATTATCATGTGCTTAATCTTTATTTTACTTTTGGAAGTTTTTCTTCCTTTATTCCAACTTTTTATAAGTCTCATAGCAAATTCCAATTCAGTAAATTCTTATGATGTTGATATTTAATATTTGTAATTCGAGATAATCTTTCAAATTTCTTCAGTATTATTTGTAAATGAGTCATAGTCATAGTTTTAAGATACTAAGCTAATTAGAAATTAATTATGCTATAATTAGGTTAATAAGGGTTAGGCAATCTGGTAAAAGTTCTTTATATTTAATTAGCTTCAGGAGCTTAGGTTAATTAACTAATGGATTAGTTTGCCCTAATAAGTTACAAATAGTTTATAATGTTTAATTATGCTCATATGTGATTAATTAATGTTTGGGAAATATTGTAAGATATAGGTTAACTAATTAATGAATTAATTAGATTTCAATTATTCACATTATATGAAGTTAGTCTTATACAAACTATTTAGAATTGAATTAATGAATCTCATTTTTGATTTGCATGAATTGTATAAATATTTTTGAACTTCTATTCATGTTATATTAGATGTATCATTTTCCTCCTTAATTTTCAATATTTATTTTAATAAGATGTCGATGCAAAAATTTTGTCATGTATAAAAGTATAACCTCATTACATACATAAACTTCGAACTCAATATCTCTTAGCTAAATATCGAAACTCCTAACCAACAGATCAAATGGTGCTCACATGTTGACTGAAGGCGCAAAGTAAGTCATAATGATCTTTGATAGCTTCTTCTGTTGTTAGTACTCACTTACAATTGGGTAGAAGGTGATTGCTAAAAGGTTGATGAGGAGATTGCTTGGATTTTTGGGTTTTAGATGTGGAAGATAGTGTAATTTTGTGATTTTATTAGGAGTGTTGGATTCAAATTTGTTTGTAAGCAACATTTAGCTTTCATAACAAAATAGAATAGGTAAGGTAAAATAGTAGCCAGTAAAATTAGTAAGGAGAGCATATGAAAAGTCAAGTAATCTTTGTAAATGATAAAAATGATATTAAATCTAAAATATATTTTTTAACATCTTATTTATAGGATTAAGAGGGTCACAATAAAGATTACTTCTAACAGATAGAAAAATAATAAGTGATTTAACAAGTATAAACTAACACATACACATGTGGGTCAGGATGCCTCTAGGAGTACCTTGTGTGTGTTTAGGAGTAATTATTATGTCCAGACACCGAACGCGTCCAGAGACCAATAACAAAACTCCACGTCACTTGGGTGCTCGGTGCCAAACACTCGGTATTGCTCGGTATTTGTCCGGATTTCCAATTTTTTGTCTGGACGTAATAACTTTTCGAGTGTTTAGGATAATGAGTCCTCGAGGAAGCGTACTCGTCATTTAGGCGGCTGCAACTTTGAATTGGGGACAAATGTAGCCATGACAATAGGCTATTGGTGTAAATAATTATTTTTTCAAGGAAATGTGAACTATAATTTTGTATATTTTAAATTTATGCATAATTTTGGATGTCCAGTGGCTTTGGTGTATATAAATTTTGACGATAAAATGAATAGAGTTAATTAAAATTCTTCCATTAGACTTTTGAGGCATGACACATAGAGGAGTGGGTGCAACAACCACTTCAATTGAGACACTTTAATGAGCTCAAAATTGAATGATCTTAAGATCGTTAACCTTTTCGGGATGCTTAATTTAACTATAAACATAAAAGAATTCTAAGATCACTTGATTCTTCAATTAATGTTTTAAATTTTCAAAGATACATCAAGTGTTTAATTTAGATTCATTTGAACTCTGATCAAATCATTTTTAATATCATTTGACTATAAATTTACTAAATTTAAAATCAAATTATTCTTGATTTAATTCTAAAAAATTTCAATATAAAATAATGCATCACAATTTCTGCCAATCAAATGATTTTTATACCATGTAAAATATTAGCTTTATTGTTCCTGGTTCAGGCAATACTGTAAGTGAAATATTCTTTACATCCACTGAAATTCATCACATTCTTACAGTTATATTTATATGATATATCATGTAACAAAAAATAAATGTGACAAAAAGATATTACTCTTCTGCAATATTACAAGCACTGCCCCAACTAAAATCACTTCAATAGTGATGGCAGCCCAGAAATTGCAATAGAGATTACAGTCATCCAAAGTCCAAATAAAACGGTTTCGACTCCAATACATGAAAGAAAAAAACTGGGCAAGGCATGATAAGTTTTTTAAACTTAGGCTTCGTTTGGAATAATTTTTTTAATGCTTTCTAAAATGACTTTCTAATATAAAAATTTCTAATTAACAAAATTTTTGCACTAAAAAATCATTTTAGAAAGCAGCAAAAACACTGTCACAAACGAAACCTTAATCTTAAATGATATAAGTTACCTGTTACTATGGAGCCCCCCAATACTTGGAACTGATTTCAGTTTTATTTATCATCAATAGGCTATGAACTTGTGATGGAAAGATAGCTCAAATGATATCGAACCAATAAATGAACATGATAGAAAGGGTAATCCTTGGAAGTAGATGGGATACCTGCATGGAATTAGCCATTGGTAGATGTTGCTGATTTTCCAAGATATTCTGCAGTTGCATCTGGTTGATCTATGGATTTTGTAGCAGCTGAAGAGGCTTTTTCTGGTCCTGGTCCAGTTGAAACCTTGACAATGGCATGTCTAAGAACACGGTCACTGAGAAGAAATCCGCGGCGGAGTTCTTGCATAACAATGCCAGATTTGAATTGTTGAGATTTCTCTCTTGAAATGGCTTCATGGATCTTCATTGTAAAGAAAGATGAAGTTATGTTACAATTTTTCTGTATTATAGGATATAAATTAGGAGTACTAGAAACAGAAGGCAATCTGACTCTGCAAACAAGATAAGTATATAGTAAAAGGGCTTTGAAAGTTAAAAAATAATGCAGCTTTCTAACCGGTTATGCAGAGGAGTACAAAGATGGTTGAAGAAGAGATGATTGGTACTAACAGAAGTTACCAGAGAAGGAGACAGAGGAAGAATAAGAAAATAGAAGGCGGTAGAAGCAGAGAGAGGAACAATAGGTGGGAGAAATATCAATATTTCATATTCATTTCATAATCCCTCACATACAAGACTAGATCTCAATATATAGTCAAGGGTCATATTAAATTCCTACAAAACATCAAACTTCCAATGAAATTAACGCAATAGTAGGTCCTTAGTTCGTACACATGAAATACTTATTTTTTAAGACTAAATGGATGTGTTCTAAATTCAATATGAAAAAGAATCTGATGACCGTTATTGTCCTAAATTATTTTGCAAAAGCCAAATTATTGCTAAAAAATTAAACCAGATGCATGAGCATAGCTTTTACCATTTGGAGTTGGTGGCGGTCTATGGGGGGGGTTGGCGGCAGGTGGCAGACGACTAGCTGCTGGGGAGGCGGTTGTGGAGGGTGGCGGCCAGCGGAGGGTGGGGGTCAACAGTGGTGGTAGTGGTCGATGATGGTGGTGGCGGTGGCTAGCGGTGGTGGCTGGTGGGGGGGTGTTGTAGCGGAGGTGGCCGGTGGTACCTTTGGAGTGTATTTGAAAATCACCCAAATATGAGGAATTTCAAATACACTCCTAAAGCACTATCTAGGGAATTCCAAATACACTCCTTTTATACCAAAATTTTACTTCAAACCAAATACCAAAATTCCCAAAACTCCTGCATTTGAATTACTTTACACTCTAAATATAGCTAACCAAACAACCCCTTAATGAGAAGGGTTCAACAAAACAGCTTTTACCAAAAAAAAAAAAAAAACTATCAAACTATTGCATGGAGGAATGCTTGGGTAATGCGCATCAATATGACTTAAAAGAACATTCAAATTTCTCAAAATGTGGCTGCCATCCAATGGCATAATGTATTGGGAAAAATGACTTATAAAAAAAAAAAAACAACTCATATGCAAAATCATCACAATATGTGGGATTGAATTTTTTATAAGATGCTCAAACTTTCAAATAAAGTTAAAACATAATTGTATAAAGACTGGTTTTGAATAAACAAGTTTAGCTATAGAAACTTGCAGAAACATCGACAATTACATGTAACCTTTATCAACTCAAAGAGCAATAGACCCAAAAATGAAAATCCAAGCGGCAAGACAAATGATGTGAGTGAGAACAATTCGTAAATATTTTCATGATTCATCTAATTAAATTGGTGGTGGAGGACAACTAAGTCAACATACTTGTACAACAAAGCAGGTCCTAAGTTTGATATTTGAACTGAAAAAAAGGTGCAAGATCATGAAGAAAATACTTTACTTACAGAGGGATCAAATGGTCTACCGACTGTCTCCACTACAGAAACACGCATGCTTCGCACGATCTCAACAAACTGCCTGTAAATGCCTTGATAACTTGTATCAATCTTCCTTTCTCTTTCTGTTTCTGGTTTCATTTGTTGCTTCACTCTCTCAAAATTGTCAACAATGGGCAATAAGCGCTCAATAACTTCTGCTCGATTATCAGATGTAAAGGTGAGACGATCCTTTTCTGTGCGCTTTCTTAAATTTTGAAAATCAGCATTTAAACGAAGAAACTTATCCTTTATAGTTAATATTTCTGAATTTAAGCCTGCAGATTTCAAGGAAAGTTCATTCTTCTCCTTCTCAAGGTTGCAAATTGATGCTTCAATTTGAGAGACACTCTTTTCATCACCATTAAAAAAAGCTTCCTTATAAGCCTGAATAAGGGCCTTCATATTATCATTTTGTTTAGTCAAACTTCTAGATTTGTTCTCCGTCGCTTGGTTCTCCTCATTTTCAGTTATTATCTGACAAAAATAATAATACAATAGCATTATGTTTAGATGGACATGGAGAGATGATAAGTTTTTATCTGAGTAAAATCTAAGTCGTTATATACATTAGGTGCGATTGACATCTGGGTTCAAAATATTTCTGAAGTTTGGCCACAACCAAAAATTGGCTCATACATGATACAACTCAATAAATTAGTGATGCAAACCACAACTCTTAACCTTAGGAAGCAACACCATAAGCAAGCATAGCCATGAATGCAACTTTCATGAAATGCTTGGCGCACAGGTAGATTTGTACAGGATGCTGAAAGAATGTGAATGGCAGTCATCATTGCTGTCAAAATGATCATCATCAAGCAAGTCTCCTATTACAGTATTGCAACGTACATGTTCAGTATATTCTAAAAAAGTGCTTGCATATTTTTAAAGAGCATGCCAATGTTTAAAATTGCACAATTGGGTATTGAGGCGTTTTTTGTTCATGAGGCGAGGTGGCGTTTTGAGACGTAAGCCTCAAAATTAAAAAAATTGCATTAAATGATAATAAATGTCAAAATAATTTTTTATATAATACCTAAATAATATGTTAAATGATGATATATTAAATTTCTACTGAATTATGAATTAACAAATTGACATACATATAAAACAAAAAATTGCACAAGATCTACAGTGACAAATAATAAATTGCATGAAATAAAATTATAATTCATAAAAGCAAAAAAATATTAAATATAGAAATTGCATAAAAGTATCATAAAACATGTAAGTTCAACTCCAATTTTTTTTATTATTATCAATTATCTACTAATTTTCATTTAATTCTTAATGAAAATTGAAATAGTTGGCAACAACTAAGGAATTATCTGCACTTTTATCACTGAGGTGATCTTTATAAGAGTTGAAATTGGTCTATCTCTTGTCTCATTCGGTACAGTCGAATGCCTTCCAATATGCTTCTTTTTAATTTATTTCAATCATATTCATCTTTTAGAAATATTTTCATCAATATAAATATGAGATTAATGCTCATAACTTTTTGGGTAGTTGTGTGCAGCTTTCAAGTGATTGTCGATGATGACTATGATGGTGTTGGCTATGGTGAAGGCCGCGGGATGGAGGTAGATGCAATCGAGAGGAAGTTGTTGCACTCGAATGTAAATGAAGGCGTGATTTATGTTAGTTTTAACAAAAAAAAAAAATATACAAATAGGGTGAGACGTAAGCCTCATGGTAGCGAGGCGAGGCGGGCCTCAGCCAAGCTGAGGCGCAAGCTTCATAAAAAAAAACTAGAGGCGTAATTTTCGAGGCATTCTCACTAGAATTACGCTGAGGCGGGCCTCAAAGCGAGCCTCATATTACGCAATTTTAAACAATGGAGCATGCTAATCTTGTAAACTACCAATAAGCTATAACTTTGTTCAAAGCATTAAGATTCATGCTCATAAAGCATAGACTGCTTTATTGTTGTCCAATAAATCCGTGTTTGCCAATCTAAAGCCAGGTAGAAGAATTTAGAGTGAAAATGCTGCATGCAGCCACTTAAAATAAAACGTCCACAAAAAATCCTGATAGAAGTACTCTAAAAACTGAGCGAAAGCTCAATATGAAGCAACCATAATGATCTTTAATAAGTGTCCAAATTACAGGAGAGATTGCACCATGGCTGGCCCATGCCTAGTTCAAGCTGCAAAGAGCATGCTCATGTCTACCCAAAAAAAAAGTTTTAGGGCTGAAAATGAGAGGCAAAAAAAAAAAAAAAGTTTAATAACGAAGAAGTTTCTATGACATGACTTTCACATGTCGCACACCCATGGCGGGGGGGGGGGGGGGACGGGGGGGGGGGGGGGGGCACGTGCCCCCCCTAATAAAAAAAAAATTGTATGCAGATGAGAATTGTAAGCTTTTTGCAATTAGAGAGAGTTGCCAGAATCTCGCCAGATAGTGTGTTCTGCCGGAGATGAAGCAGATCAAGCTGCTTCAATTGACCTATAGTTCCTTGGATTCTCCCACATAACTGGTTTCCAAAAAAATTCACCATATGCAACTTCGAACAATTGCTAATCAGAGCCGGAATTTCACCGGTGAACTGGTTTTCATAAAGGTTCAACACTTCTAAGCACTGCAGCAAGCCGATCTCCTCCGGGATTCCTCCGATGATATTATTATGGAACAGAGTTAGCGTCTCCAGCTTGCTGAGATTTCCGAATTAACTGGGAATGAAACCAGAGAAGCTGTTGTTATTAAGAATGAGATTAGTGAGCTTCGTCAGAAATCTGAGCTCCGAAGGAATGAAACCGGAGAAGCTATTGTTAGCAAGATCTAGCTATCGGAGATTCGGAGTGTCATGCATTGTGCTATCGTCACCAGAATTCGGTCGTTGAAGTTGTTGCCGGAGGCCATGAAATGCTCCAGGCTAGTTTAGCTCCTCCAACAGAGATATTCTGGCAGATTGCCGGAGAGCAGGTGATGTGAAACAACCAACGAAATTGCAGGATCTTATTAAGAAATTTGTTTCCACAATGAAATTATAACATTAATGATTCACTAAGTTAGGATTTTCAGTTTTCGTAGTTATTGACTTGCTTCTAGCATGCGGTTACACGTTAGATTAACAGAGCGATCCGAAATAATGACAAGAAAATAGTAAACAAATATGCGATTAACAATAATCCACCACTTAACAATTAGAACTTTCACCTTAGAGTTTCCCTCTCGATCGTTCTTTGGAAGTAGGTTTAGCATAGGACAAAAGTAAGCCCAATGATGCCACAGCAAGACAGAGGATGCCAGAGGTTTTGATCAATGGAGAGCTGGCCGAAGTTGGAGAGACAGGTAGCCGTCCTGCGATCTTCCACGATCATGTAAGTTGTTGCTCTTCGATGACGTCCGCCAAAGTAAAGAGAATACGCTCCACGTATTCTTCGACGGTGCCTTCGGACCCAAATCCGGGATCGAAGAACGGTGATTGAATGATGTCGACTTCCTCTTGAGAATCGTAAACGAGTCCGTGATCAACTTCCGGATCCGCCATGCATTCTTGTCGGGAGATGAGGGAGTACCAATGGAGAGAAGAGGGAGAGGAGGTGGCGGTTGGAGGGGATGGTGTTGGGCCGGCTTGAGGAATAGGAGGGGAGTGGCTATATTGGGAAAGCACTTGGGGAAATTTACAACCTAAAATTAAATTTAGGTTTAAGTGAAATTGGAGGGAATTAATTTGAAATTCAAATTAATCCATTAAAGACTAAGGGCGGCAAGGGAGGAGGGGATAGGAGCTGATTTAGTTGGGGAATTGGGATTAAATTGGGAGGGGAAAAGTCAAAAATCTGAAATTAATTCTCAGATTTAGTGAAGTTAGAGGGAAGGTGAATTCAAATTCAAATCAGGATTAATGGGAGGTGAGGAACTATGGGAGATAATTAGAGAGTCTTGATTGAGGGCAATTAATAACAATTGGAGAGAGAGAAGCAAGGGGAAGGGGCCGGCCATGTAGAGAGGGGAGAGAGGGAGTTTGGAATTTAAGTGGGGCCCGTGGGTTAATAAATAAATTCTAATCAAATCTGATTTTAATTTCAGATTTGAGTAAATTTAAAATAACTTCCCAATTTGGTTTAATATGAGAGGGAAAAGAGTTTGAATTTCAAAATAGGTTTAAACCCCCTTAATTGACTTTCCTAAATAGAGAAAGACTAATTAGGAAAGTGACTTAATCAAGAGGAATTTGAAATTCAAAATAGGTAGGATCAAAGGGGAACCGGCGGCATGGTTGGAGTCAAGGGGGGCGGATACCTGGAGCCGGCGGGCTGGCAGCCCGCCGTGGGAGCTGGGTGAGCCGCCGGTGGCTGGATCGGCCAGGAGAGGTCGATGGTGGAACTATGGGGCGGGTGGGGGAATTGGGAGGGAGTGAAGTTTCGGTTAGGTCGGGAAGAGGAAAATAGGTGTAAGGGAAAGAGAAAATCTAGAGCTACCAACCTCAAGCACCACCTCCACTAGAACTCACAAAGAGATCCACAAGTATCACCTCCTCAAGAACTCACAAAGAGATCTTGGAAAATTTTACGAACTCACAAAGAGATCAACAAGAGAAAATTTGATTCATCAAACATTAGAAAATAATACAAAGACTAGGCCTTCATATATAGGCCTCCAAAGTACAAAAATGTAAAAGATACAAATGCCCTCAGGCTACAACATGAAACAAATCTTTCATAGGGGTACAAATGAAAAACTGAAAATTAAATAAAAGAAATGCATTAAAACACATAAATAAAAACTATAAATCGTAGCCGTCAATCTATGATCCTGCCGATGTCGAAATGTATGGTGGATGTCCTCATCAGCTGGTCCCGCCAAAACCAGGAAGTTGAGTTCCGGCAAGTCACCAAGCTCCTCCGGGAACCCGCCAAGGAGCCGGTTTATAGACAAGTCAAGCACACTGAGCTGGCTCAACCTGCTGAGTGATACTGGTATTGAACAGTATAGTACATTTCTCATAACATTAAGGTATTATAGCTGAGTTAACTCACCGATTGACACAACTCATATTGACCTGTTGGTTGCGAATTTAGGCTACCAACTATGAGGTCTTGAGTTTGAGTCTTTGTGTATGTGATGTGTGTGTGAATTTATCTTAATTGGCCTAAAAGTCCAAATAAAAAAAACTCGCTGACTGAACTTGGTATAGAACCGCTAAGTGAGTTGTTAACCAGATTCAAAGTTTATATCTGAGAAAGATCGTCGAGATCTGGTGGAATACTGCTGGTGAGCTAATTACCGGCGAGGGCGAGCACGGTGAGTTCCTGCATGCATGGGATGAAGCATCCTTTAATTTAGGCCTCCCCTAAATATATTTTTTGGCTCTGTCACCCACCCAACATATTTTCTGGCTCCGCCACTGCGCACACCCCAAAATAGTTGGGATATGTCTAATAATGAATATGATGATGATATCTGAGACTAATGACTTTAACATACTTATCACACAGGATGGTTTTGGGGTCGATCATAAAAGG